TGCGCGCTTTTTCTCCCTTTCTCTCCCTCTCTCTCTCTCTCTCTCTCTCTCTCTCTCTCTCTCTTTCACTATGTCCCTCCCTGGTCAAATTTAAATAAAGTTAAATAAAATAATTCTTTAAAAAAAAATTTAAAAACATACTATTTATGGTATAATAATTATAGATTACTTTTATGTATTAGTCATATATATATATTAGTTTTATTTCTTTAGAAACATAAAAATAATCAAATTACATTTATAACAGTTTGTAATTTATGCTTTTACTAATTTGCCCTGGTCTTTACTCAGTCCAAACTCTCCCAAAGAATAATAAGGATTTTTTTCCATTGGTATGGCTCTTGGTGGTCAAAAGTTTGCTTATTAATTGCCATCCTACTTCTTGGTTAATATATCGATTTCGCTAAAATGGACATTTTGCATGCACAGTGAAGCCTTACTTCTCATCAGATAAATTCAGTTGCAATCTCATTTCTCCCTAGGAAGCCTATTCTGTAGCAAGACAATTCAATATGATCCCGCCAGTCTGTGAGCAAGCTGAGTACCATCTTTTCCAGAGAGAGAAGGTGGAGGTTCAGCTACCGGAGCTCTACCATAAAATAGGTAATCAGCAATATCAAATGTACTGAGTCTTTTAACAAGAGGAGGATCAGTGGTTCCCCCAAAAAAAGTGTTACCGAAGTGCTTTTCTCAATGTCCCTAATTAACACAGGGATTGTAAAAACCATGCACTCCCTAGTCTGGAGTGGATCAAATATGCGGGTACTTAGTCTACAGAGTCTCACCAATGAAAGCTAAGCAAGGTTGGAAATTGTGTCCACGCTGTGCTCAGTGGGTGTCCATACAGAATGAAGGGAACAAAGAATAAACTCATTTTTCATAAGGTGCTTGCTCTATCCCAAGCATGCATCTCTGGGTGGGTTATGGCTGCCTTTTGTAAAAATCATGGATGTATCCATCTCTGTCTGCTACTTTGGACTTGGCACTGAGTTAGTTACGGGGAATTCAACAACAAACAAGTCAAATGCTGCATATTTGTGTAGGTAGAAGTAAAGTTTGCAAAGAAAGGGGAAAACATATATTCACAGCACACGCACACGCACACGCACACACACAGGAAATTAGGACATTAGAAAAGCATAAATAAGCCACATGTTCAGGCTTATTATCAACTGTTTCCAAAGATAACTTTCTTCCTAAAGAACAGAGGTGCACATGAGCAGGAAAATGCTGGGTCAGGGGAAAAAAGTAAAATTTAAACAAAAAGAGTTGTTCTCATGGCTCTCACTTATCGAGTGCCTCCTGTGTCCTAAGCTCTGTGTCCTGTTAGTACAGGCACAATGACAGACACATATGGAGGAGAGAAGCACTGCCCGTTTACCCAAGTACGAGTGTTTGAGTGTGAAAAAAAAAATGTGAATTTTGGACTTCAAAAATCTTATTGCTAAGCCACATTTCCAGGCTGGCTGATATGACTCATTCCCAAGAACTGACCGTGCATGTTTTATTGGTTCGTAACAAAGGACACACCATTTACAAATCTCTAAATTGTAATGGACAGATGTGTGCTGGTATTAACTCATTTATCTGGCCAGCTTTTCCCTGTAACTAACCAAGTTCTGTTTAAACACCCCCATGCGTTTGACCCCAGTCTACACAAGCATCTTTTTAAGTCTTCTTCTTCTGTAGGGGTTGGTGCCATGACATGGTCTCCACTTGCCTGCGGAGTCATCTCAGGAAAATATGGAAACGGGGTACCTGAAAGTTCCAGGGCTTCGCTGAAGGTATTTTCCTCCATCTCTAGAAGGGTCCGGGGGTGGGATGAAAAGAAAAAGATTGATATGAACAGTATTCCAGCAGACTGGGCCCTTGGTTGGGTCAGTGGGCTCTGGCAGGCTCCCCCCAAGCCCTCTGGACTTCTCTGCTCCTGGCCAGACATCAGTCAGCCCTTTGTAATCTGCCTGCACAGAAAACCCTCCTTTGGGGACTGGAGGAAATGCATCCAATGACCTGGTTGGATTTGTAAGGTTTAAATCCCCACACTGTTATTTATTCTTATGTTAAAGAAGGCATCTATCCCTCGTTTGAAACTGACAAAATATAAAATCCTTTTCATATAAGAGGATCAAATTTTACTTTTCTTGACAAAACAAAATTTAAGCCATAGAGGCTTAATTCATATGAAGCAAACAGTTATACCTGCTTATGGTTTGAGGTTGGTTGACATTTTTTTTTTTTTTAATTCTGTGTCACAGAGTAGGGATGAGGAGGGAGGGCCCAGGAGACAGAACAGCAAAGCCTCTTTCACTGAAGCTTGGTGATTGGTGTTTGCAAAGATCAATTCTAGCTGCTGACTCTTGTAGCTTAAATTCTGCTCTGAAGCATAAAGATATTCCAGATTGTTGACACAAAATTACCTCCATTCAGGACATCTTGATGAATTTATTGGAGAGTACTCCAAACCTCTGTCCTTATTCATGACAACATTTTAAAAATTTGAGAAAATGTGTAATAACATCACAATCACAAATTACTCTGTGAGGTCAAGGGAGATCAAACACAGGCATTTAAACATCTCAAATGAGCCGAAGTCCTTCTAAGAGGAAGTCTAAGTGCGACAAGGCCTCTTGCCTCTATTAGTATCAAGTGATCAGGAAAACAGCTCGAGTTAAGCCCAAACCACCAACTCTTTAATCAGTGTAGCTGGGACCACCATGGCCTTCTCTCACTGGAAGCTGCAAAAGGGACCAGTTCTTCCCCTTTCCCTTCCATCTGTAACAAATGAGCATTAACTTGTTTGTTCTCAAAAAACAAATCCAATATAAAAGCTTTCTAAAGCATGTTGACATGGTCCTCGTTTTGCATTACTCCCCTTACACACTCACACATGTATCCCCAGAATATTAAATAAGGTCTTGCTCCTGAAAAATAGAAGATTGTTCTCAACCAGAACTTAAATCAGCAAAGGAAAACTAAAAGCATCTTAGAGAAGAAAACATACAGGAGGAAGGTGAGAGGTGAGTAAATAAAAGGGAAACATTGAGAATTGCTACTTTATTGATCACCTACTATGTGCCAAGCATGAGCTAAGTATTTCCATTCATCTCCTTTCTTTTCTTTCTTTTTTTTTTTTTAAGTTTTGTTTTCCCCCATAGGTTTTGTATACTTGCCAGAGAGAGACAGAGATGGGGAAAGTGAGAAGTCACCCCCTGGGGGAGATGGTCACACTGCAATCCCTTCTCCTCCATTCTCAGGAATTTGGACACATATGCATGCACCTGTGATTTTCAAGCTGCTGGATCTGGGACTCCAATAGTGGTCAGCCATGTGGGAATCTAGCGCCTTAATCACCACACCAGGTGCTGGCCCGTCTCCTTTTATTTTCACAAATGGTAAATACGTACCCTTAGAAATAGATTCAGGTGCCTTTTAGTCAACTTGTAGCTATGTGAGTTGCTGTATATTCTTTCAGCGGCTTTTTGAGAAATTCAAAGTTCTTCCATTGTGCTAGGTATTTGTTCTCAGACCAACCTTATAGGGTAGACCGCTTACAAATACAGAAACTGAAGCACAGCAATGCTAAATAACAACCCAAGATCATAAACTCATAAGAGACCAAGTTGGAATTAGAATCTCTCCTGGCTCTCGATTTATCGTCTCCTCCAAAGACATCTTTGTTTCCCGTCCAACCCAGGTTTTTAAAGGAGGACAAAGCAGCTACACTGTGAAATGATTGCCTAACCTCCACCACGGTATAGGAAAAACTTGTAAAGAGTTGAGAAAACTTTCACAAATCCACTAGCCGGAGGAAGGGATAAAAGGGGATGCGTTGGTGAGGGAGATACAAATTGTTTGAAGGTGGCAAAGCCCAAAAGCAGCTTGGGAAATATTTGTATTGTTGACCTTTATAGAGTCAATTCCGTATCTACTGGAACATCCTTAACAATAAACCGTAAGAGCCCTTGACAGATGAAAGGTGCCGGATCTTCTTTAGCGCTCTGCAGCTCTCAAGGCTCTAAATTATCAACCTGAGTGGTTTTCAGAGTAATATATGTGCATTTAGGAAAGCCACTTGAGCAGAGTTACCAAACCACAAAATGAAAAAAATAAAAGAAGCAAGCGCCAACGTAAGGAGTGAATTAGGATACTAACAGTAGAAAGAAAAAAGAGAGAAGAAAAGGGGAAAAAGCAATGAAGAAAGGGAGAGAGAGAAGGAAGGAAGAACGTAAGAAGAAAAGATAGCTGAGAAGTAATTAAGTCTGCAAAGTTCGCCTCCCTCCAAAATGGGTCGTGCCAATGGTTCATGCTTCACATTGGCTATTAAACCAATAAAAATAAGATGCTGATATATTGTGTTTGTTGTAACACTGAACAGCAACTGAGGAATAGATTTACCCAGTACAAAAATATATCTATCTAGGGCTCTTTTAGAAAGTAGTTCCACCCAGGGAGAGGGGAAGAGTATAGGGAAGGAAATCAGGGAGAAAATAGAGGCAAGACATTTGTGGGACACAGAAATGGTTTATTACCTATAGATGATAACATGTATAGTATCCTCATCTGGATTGGCCTGAGGTGTATTTCATGTTGGGCAAATTCTCTTTATAAGCTAAATGATGTATAGTGATCAAATGTTTAAAAAAATAAGACGAATAAAAAAGAAAGTAGTACCACCCAGGAGATCTTCTGAACAGCCTCCTCTGGCTCCACCTCTCTAACAATGACTTCTCAATCCATGTCGTCAACCCTCACATCACTGCTGAGCTGCACGCCAACCACTGTTTTGTGTCTGTGACGTATCTCAAGGAGATGCCCCATGGGCCTCAGGCATGCCTAATGGAACCAATCCTCAGCCCAGAACCTGCCCTTCCTTCTTGGTTAATAGGGCCTCCACCCATCCAATTGGTCATTCCAGTAAGAAGCCAAGGCATTATTTCAAACTGTGTCCTTCCCGTCCTCACTCCTGTCTAGCAAGGCACCAAATCCTCCAGCCCACACCCTGACTCTAGGTCTAGCCCTTCCACAGCCTTTGTTTAGATCTTTGTCATATTTTCCCAGGTTTACTGTAGTAGCATTCCATCTGGACTCCAATTTTTTTTTCCTTTTTTTTTATTTGGAGAGGTTTTTTGCTATAGGGCACGTGCGCTTGCCAGACAGAGACAGAGAGACAGAAAGCGAGAAATCACCCCCCAGGGGGAATGGCCACGCTGCAATCCCTTCTCCTCCATTCTCCTCTTGGGATCTTGGGCATGCACACACACATACCTGGCATGAGTTTTAAGCCACTGGGTTTGGGACGTGAACTGTGGTTGACTACATGGGAGTCCAGTGACATAGCCATTATGCTAACTGGTAGTCCCATGATTTTTTTTCCTTTTTCTCAACAACCCACCACTGTGTTCAATTATCTTTCTGTGTGCCAGCAAGTGGCATGGTGGTTAAGGCACTGGACTCCCACATAGCCACCTATAGTTCGAGTCCCAGACCTGGTGGGTTCCTTTCTCATTTTCCTTCTCTCTCTGTTTCTATCTGCTGAGTGCATTTGACCTACAGCAAATTAAGAAAGAAGAATTCATAAAATTAAATAAGTAATTCTTTTTAAATTATCTTTCTAAGAGAGTTATCTGAAAATATCATCATCCTGCTTAAAATCCTTTAATGACTTCCCAACTATGGCTTATAGGACAAAGCCCAAACTCCACAGCAAAGCATTCAAGAAAATCCTTTTGGGGTCCAAGTTGAGCCTACTCACATACATATTGAGTCACTGGAAAAGTCATGCCATATTTTTATGTTTTTCTATGCAAAAATGTATCATGGCTTTTCTGATGGCCCAGTACTTCTTAGAGTCATAGAATTCTGAGGGTGCAAATGACAGAACTCATGGAAACCTATTTAGTCAAAGGAGAACTCTGTTGGTTCACATGGGCAACCCTTGGGAAGGACGGTGTGCGGCTGGTTTCATGAGTAACACCACTCAAGGACTTGGGACTCTCCAACTTCTCCATTTCTCTCTGCATGCAGGCACCACTTTCTTCTATTATAATTGGATCTTCTCTATGAGACCAAGAACAGGAAAACTGGTGGTTGCAGGCTTCCATCCTTAAAGACGTGTAACTGGGGAGATAAAAATCTTTTTGCTATTAGCTTCGGTCCAGAGAAGACTGGCCAAGCTTGGGTTATGTGCCAACCCATGAGACCAGTGACAGTGGTCAAAAGGAAAGACCCTATGATCAAGCCAGAGAATGTTCTTTTTTGGAGTATTTTCTTTAAAAAGGCAGTACGAACATTTCTTATGAGAAAATCATGGGGGGTGAGGGGCACCCAACTACAAAACAGTTCCGAATTACTAGGTAATAATCATTACCTTTAGGACAGAAACTGAAAACTCACGCATTCAACTTATCACAGAGCCTGGCACATAACAGGTACTCAATAAATGTTGTTGAATGACCTCAATAAGCTGTAGCATAAGATCAAGAGACTAGGTGTATAGCTTTTAAATAGAAGTTTTAAATATTGGGTTGTCATAAAAGTCGTGACATGTTTTTACATAGAAAATGTAGAAAAAGTACATCATGACTTTTCTGACAACCAATAGAAAGCATTAACGCCATAAAATCTATTGCCAATTCTTCTGTTGTTACCAAAATGCTTTCTAGAAAATTTATAAAAATATGTACTTCTCCATCAAAAGAAAACAGGGAACATGTATACTTGCGCGAATCAAAGCTGAGGGAGTTGGGCATTCAAGTAGGTTCACATTAAGAAACCAAGAATGTCGCACAGTGTTGTCTAATTTTAGGACATTTTTTTTTCCATAGGCCATGTGCTCTTACCAGAGAGAGATAGTGAGAGGGAAAGGGAGACATCATTCCCCAGGGGGACAGCCATGCTGCAATCCCTTCTCTTCCATTCTCCTCTCTGGACTTTGGGCATGCATGCATACGTGCCCAGTGTGATTTGGGGGCCAAGTATGGGGTTCAAATCATGGTCGGCCATGTGGAAGTTCAACACCTTATCCTCCATGTTGCCTGCTGGCCCCTAGAAGGAAATTTTTTCACTACGGCATTACAACTAGCAGTTTCAACCTCAATACTGAAGACTTTGATTTTGTTTTGAGTTAAACTTTGATGAATAAATAGAAATAGTCAATAATCTTGGATGCCAAACTATTCTAGACTAAGGTCCAGAGATGAGATGTACCTGGTTCTGTTCCTGGGTCTATAGTTTCTACCTGAGTCCCAATCCCAGATAATTAGCAGCCGATTATGTTTTTGTGACAAGTCTCACAAACTAGTCCCAATACCTATTAAACTGGGGGACACATAGATAATGCTCACTGGGAGAAGGTGAAGAAACAGGCTTTAGGAAATGCAGAGAATTTGGTGACTTATATATAAAAGTATTAGGTCATTAATCTGTGGGGAAAAACCCATTTGGTCCCTTTGACTAAAGTTACTGAGTGCACTCAGATTTCATGCTGGATGTTAGGGGCAAAGGGATGAATGGATTGGTCTCTCAAGGAGTAGCCCAGAGACTTGTAAAAGAGACAGATGTGTGAAGCGGTGAATTCTGAAACAATGTGGAATCCTCAAGCACTTTGGAGTTCCAGGACTGGTGGCAAGGTCACACTGCATTGAGGGGGCACTCAGAAAAAAGGAGATTTCTTTTTACTCAGTAGAGCTGTAGTTTCTACAACCCCTCCCTTACTCCCAGTAGGCTGGTCCCCTCCTCGGAGCCAACCAAGCGTCAGAACTGGAGATGCTGACATGAACAACAAGCCATCCCTGCCTTCTACTCAGTTTAGAAAGACCTACATGAAATCAAATCATTGTAGTGCAGAGGGGCAAGCAGTGTAATAAATAGGGTTGGAAAAGAAGATTGCATCTTTAAATTTTTTTTTATTTAATTTTATTTAGCGTTATTATTATTTTTTTAAATTTGGCCAGAGATATAGAGGGTGAGAAAGCAAGTTGCCAGGTCCAGGACTTGAACCACAGACAGCCATGTGGCAGTCAGTGTCTTAACCACTATATCATCTGCTGGTCCCAAAAGATTGTATCTTAAGATTCATGAATTACTGGGACCAGCAGTTGGCATAATGTCTATGTCTCTGGACACCCATGTAGTCGACCGTAGTTCGAGTCCCGGACCCAGTGGCTTAAACTCACTCTGGGCGTATGTGCATGTGTGCCCAAGATCCTGAGGAGAAATAGAGGAGAAGGGATTACAGCATGGCCATCCCCCCGGTGGGTGATTTCTCGCTTTCTGTCTCTCTGTCTCTCTCTGTCTTTCTGGTGAGCACATGCGCCCTATAGACAAAACCTTTCCAAAAAAAAACAAAAAAAAGAGGAGGACTTCTGTAAGATTGATACATAAATAAACTATTCTTTGTGTACAGACACTTTATACTAGAGCCTCAGGAATGCTCTAGTTATAATTAAGAAGCAGTTGTTCAAAAACCAGTTGGCTATCCGTTACCAATCTTGCCATTTGTTTGAATAATAGTCAGGTATATTGGCCCCCTGAAAGGTGTAATGGAATTTCGGTGAGAATTGTTTTTTTTTTCCACTGAGAACAACAAAAGTAAGTGCAGGGACTCTGACGTAGCCAGTGCCCTGGTCTGGGAAGGCTGCTTCGACTTCGATTGCAGTGTTCATGGTTCATAGCTGTCCACCTCAGCACCACGGGCACCAGCTGTCATCTCTGGAAAGGCCTTCCAACCACCCTCCCCCCCGAAGAAGTTGAGGCTTCCTGGAGCTGAGGCTGGGAAAACTGTTGGCCATCTCCCCAAGTAAACTCCCAAGTGAGGAGTTAGACCATAAGCCTTTTGAGATCCAGGAGGTGAACAGAACTAGGGCAGCTCGGTCTTCTTCGCTTCTGCAAAATCATTCCAAAAATTACAATAAATCATATTGTGGTTACCTTTTTCTTTAGAAATAATGTATTAGACTGGCAAAACCATACATAAACACACACACACAAGCCAACAGCCTATTAAAATCACGTGAGTGGAGGGTCTATGGCCGACTGCCCATTGCAGAGCTTTCTGCGGCCTTTGGGAGGGTAGAGAGCTACGGTGGCGATTGTGTCGCAAATACATGCCACAGGGAAAGTCCTCGTCACCACACAATGCTATGGTTATTTATCATTTGGGGGAAAACGGATTAAAAGAATATCACACAAATATTCAGCTCTGTGCTAGCTTTATACTGAAGAATCTATTGTTTTCTAGTTCTGAGTAAAAGCGGAGCTTTCTGGAAAGTAGGGCAAGGAAAAGTGCTAACAGATTTTTTTCTCTTTATATTAAGAAATTAGCCTCATGTTGTAGCCTACAGGTCAGGGCCAGTCTCTTCTCACAGGCTTTAATAAATGGTGTCCTGTTTTGAGTTCGCTTACATTTTTAAGTTTCAATAGTGATACAATAGGTAATACACATTCACGAAAATCTTTATCCGCCTTAAAATTTTAAAAGTCTTCTTGGTATCTATCGGTTATACCATGTCTGCATCTAAGAGGGAGCCAGGGGAGCTAACAATAAAGCCTTATTATAAGAAGAAAGAGATTAGGAGTGAACTGAAGACAAGAGGGAAAAGGGAGTTATAACAAGAATGTAAGGTAACGGTTTTCTTTGAGCAGAAAGCTTGGCGCCCACTTTCTGTTAACAAAGGAACAAAATAGACCTTGATAAAATGTAAATGCCATTTTTTTGTTTTTGGGGTTTTTTTTGTGTGTGTTTGTTTTTGTTACATTTTAAAATTGGGCCCTCCTAATAAGAAACATCATTTCCTCCAGTTGGCACACTAGAATATAATTATTTATATGTCAGAGTCAAGATTTTAATAACTTTTCTGTGCACATACATTGGTCCATTTGAATGGTGACTATCAGTTGTGAATAATCTGTTCTGAACCAATGAGCATTTCTTTCTTTCTTTTTTTTTTTTTTTAGAGGTTTTTCGCTATAGGGCGCGTGCACTCGCCAGACAGACAGAGAGAGACATAGAGACAGAAAGCGATAAATCACCCCCCAGGGGGAATGGTCACGCCGCAATCCCTTCTCCTCCATTCTCCTCTCGGGATCTTGGGCATGCACGCACACGCACCCAGCGTGAGTTCTAAGCCACCAGGTCCGGGACACGAACCGCGGTCGACTACGTGGGAATCCAGCGACATAGCCAGTACGCTAACTGCTAGTTCCCACCAATAAGCATTTCTTCACATGAAGACCTGGACATCCTTGTCTGGTATTTTATTGAATTAACCATCTTTGACATCAAACTCTTACCAGACATTAACACTTAAACCTTATTCTCTCCTCTAGTGCTACCAGTGGTTGAAGGAAAGAATAGTCAGTGAAGAAGGGAGGAAACAGCAAAACAAGCTAAAAGACCTTTCCCCAATTGCTGAGCGTCTGGGATGCACACTACCTCAGCTAGCCGTTGGTAAGAAAACTATGAAGGGGGCCCTCTGCTGTGATCACAGGAAATTACTTACTCTTTTTCCGTTTGTTTCATGAGAGAGAGACAAAAGCCCCATGGTCTTGTCATGCCCTGATAGTTGGTCCCACCCAACCTTTCAGCCAGCAAAGATTTGAGCATGCCTGATGTGTGAAGGTTGACCTGAGAACAGAACCCAGAGCCTTCCCATATGGCTCCACTACCATGTAGCAACACCCCACCACCAGCGCCACCACGGCTGAGCCACAAAATACAGTTTTCTGTTTTTGATCTACACATGATCAAATGTCTATGGGCAGACAGAACTCTACAGCATAAACTCCTGGTGAATACGCAGCTGCTGAGTAGATTATGGGCAAGGATTTATCCAGAATCCTGCTTTGCCCTCAGAACTCCACTAGGGCCAAAAGAAGTTCTAAGTGCAAAGCAGAACATAATTGGGGGCGGGGGGTGGAGGGAGCCCTGACTCACTTGGGTTGGATTGGTACCTTTATAGAACATTTTTTCACCCATATAGAAAAATCTAGTGATTACTTTAAAAGGCCTCGGCATGGGAACAGCTTAAGAGTATCAGTTGACAGCAAGACCTTGAGCCAAGGGGGACAAAGGAGGTGCCCAGGGACATGTGTCAACCATCCAAGCCCATGCTTATTCAACAAACACTCAATAAGTCACCATTATGTGCCAGGTACTGGGCGGGTTGCTGAGCATCCAACTACAAACAGACACATCTCACAGCCTGGGAGGCTAGTCAAGGAAATAGAAGAACATGAATAAAGTGTTGAGGCGCGCAGAAGGGCATGCAGGGTTGGGGGATTAGGGAGCAGAGCTGCCCAATCCAGTTTGGGATTCCAGGGCAAGACTTTAGGAAAGGGCAATACCCCTGGGGACTCCCAAATGATATGTAGATATTTTCAGGCAAAAGAAGGGAGGAGGCAAAGGATATTCCAGGCCAAGGAGACAGCTTGAGCAAAGGGCTCCAGAAGGAGGAAGGTTAGAAGGAGGAAAATAGCGTGAAGTTTGGGAATGGAGAGAATTTACAAACAGCTCAGTGCTCCTGAGGCAGAGTCTGGAACAGGGAGACATGCAGCTCACGTGGGCTAGAGGTAAGTGTGCCAGCTAAGAAAGAAGAGCTGTATCTTACGGGACAGAGGTGATGTCAGGCACATGTGGGAGAACTTCTAGCCAGGGAAGTGACACCATCAGATTTGTGTTTACAGAAACTGCTGCTGGATGGATGAAAGCTGTACGGGGAGGCGCAGGGGCCAATCCAAACAAAAGGCAGGAAAACCAGTCACGCAGGAAGGAAAGAGATGGTGAGGATCTCAATAAGAGCAGCGGTGACAGGACGGGCGATGAAGAGAGCCGTGATTGTCCAAGTGGGGTCCCCATAGCCCCAATTTCCAGCAATGGAGTACTATTCATCAGTAAAAAGAAAGGACATACTGACACATGCCACAACATGGAAGAACCTAGAATACATAGATGCTAAGTGAAAGAAGCCACACACACACACACATTATTGTCTGAGCCTATTCAGTTGAAACGTCCAGAACACACAGATTTAGAGACAAAGTGTAGATTAGGGCTGTCCAGGGCTGGAGCTAGAACAGAGATCTTACCAGAGTGATGGAAATATTCTAAAATGGTGTTAAAAATGGCACAGGCACACTAAAAAGGATGGTCGTCAGTAAAATCACTTAAAATGGGACAAGTTTTTGGCAAGTAAATCTTACCAACTTTATTGTTTGAAGTTTTTTTTAAAAAACGCTTGGTTCCAGATTGGTGGCATCAGCATCATTTAGACTGTTAGAACCTTCCCCAGAGATTCTGAATCGGAAATCTTGGGGGTGAGGTCCAACAACCGATGTTTGAGGAGACCTCCAGATGATTCTGATACGTGTTAAACTTTGAGGACCGCTGGATTAACGTAGGGGGGATAACCCACAAGCTTGTAAATACAGTGGAAAGTGGGCTCGGAAGAGGATAGCCCCTAAGGATCACTCGCAGATTTCCAGATTAGATTATCAAGCTGCTGGCGAGGATGCCAAATGAGGCTGGAAATGCAAGAAGCCCAGGCTTAGTAACAAGTAGCAAGGGGGACTTCACAACATCCACGGGACACCTAGCAGGAGGTCCAGCAAACACTGCATCTATGGGTCCAGGCAGCTAAGGGCTAAGAAGCCTGAGTAACCACAAGGAGATTCCTGGGGACACTGGCTTCTGGGACACAGTAATGAGGGGACTGGGATGGAAGGAAGGTGAGTAAGGGAATCTAAACTAACCCAGAAGTTTAAGAGAAGATTGGGACAGTATCTAGGCAGGAAGGAAGGGTCAAAGGAAGTTTATTTTAGAATGGGAGAAATTTGAGCATGTTTTGTTGAAGATAGTAAAAACTAAAAAAAAAAAAAAAATCTAGGAAGGTGACAGGAGATAATGTTTGAATTAAGTCCAAGAAAAGGAAAAATAAAGATAGACCATTTGGCCTTGGACATAAACAGCACACATCCTCCTCTGAAATTGAAGGATATAGATGTGGATTCTTAACACATCCTCCTCTGAAATTGAAGGATATAGACATGAATTCTTGTGTAGGTAGAAGAGTGGGGAATTAAGGAATATTCCACCTGGTAGACTTTTCTATATAAAGCATGAAAGGTCATCCACTGTGAGTGAGGGAGCAGAGGTTTAACAGAGAACTTACGGGCAGAGATTGGAAGGCCACATCAAGAAAAGGAGAAAGGAAATGACCAAGGGCAAGAGAGAATTTTGCCAGGTTGGCTGAGGCCCAGCTGAGGGGAGACATGAATGTAGGGAGGCACCAGACATGGGTTGTATGGTTGTCTCCATCCAGCACACTCAGCTGCCCTGGGGACTTGCTAGGGAAGCAGAGGAAGGGGAGGAGCATGGGGTTTATGGGCCGGTAAGAACGTCATGAAGACAGTCAACCCAAAATGAACCTTGTACTGGGAAGAAAGGGAGAGCCAGAGAGACTAGGCGGGTAGGTAGAAACAAAGGAACCAGAAGCTGGGAGTCTATAAAAGGACTCTATGCAACAATGCAGAAAAGTGAGACCATGAATAAGATGGAATAAGAATCCAGGCATCTTCTAGTGAGCAGTGTAAGGTGTTTTCAGGAACAAGAATGAGTTCCTAGGTAGGTAACCGAATCAGGTGCCCCCGTGGTTGAGCTAAGGCCTCATGCACAAAGCAGAAGAGCCCTAAGCCCGTAATTCAACTGCACAGGTTCTATCAGATCATCTGCACAACAGGGAACGGGGGGGGGGGTGGGTCCGGCAGAAAGTGCTGTGTATCATCCACACAAAAAAAGTTAATAAATTTTGGCTGCAACAAACATAGCTGTGGCTGGTGTTAACAAGCTAATCAAGGGGCAGCAGGTAGCATAGTGGTTAAGGCGCTGGACTCCCACATGTTCCACCACAGTTCGAGTTCCGGCCCTGGGGGCTGAAACTCATACCAAGCACATGTGCATGTTTGCCCAAAATCCTAAGAGGAGAATGGAGAAGAGACTGCAGCATGCATGGCCATCCTCCCGGGGAGTGATCTTTTGCTTTCTATCTCTGTCTCTGTCTCTCCAGGAAACACATGTACCCTATAGCAAAAATCTTTTTTTAAAAAAAAAAATAAAAAGCAAATCAATAATCAAATAATCAGAAGTGCTTTGACACTCTGACCCAGTGTTCTCTCCTCCCAGCGTGGTGCCTGAGAAATGAGGGTGTGAGTTCCGTGCTCCTGGGGTCGTCCACTCCTGAACAACTCATCGAAAACCTCGGTGCCATTCAGGCAAGTACTGCAGCCCCTTCCAACTCCAGGGAATTTCTGGGTGCCTTTGAAGATGTCTCTCCCCGCCTTTGTTCTCAGGGTTTGGGGGAGAGGAGACAAAAGCATAAGAAGCAGCAGAACACCTCAGTAAATGAACCAAGAGAGGTCCTCTGCCTGTTAACAAGCCATGTTCCCAAAGCTCTTTTCCAGGATGCCTGGTTTCTGCGGGATGGTGCGCTCTGGTATTACACCTGGCAAATGGCTTCCCATGCCTCACCGCAAAAGCCTGAGCCCACTTACTCTTGCCCCTGCTGAAGGTCCTTCGAATGACCCTGCCCACTGCCCCTGCCATCACCACTCCCTGGCGCCATAGGCAAGGGGGTAACCTTGCTCATTGAGAAGCAGAACATCTCACTCCCCATCCACCCCCTCCCTAGAGTAAGCTTGTGGTCCTGTTACCTCTCCCAGGACAGAGATGGAGGTGGGGACAGACTTGATTAAACTTACATCATTTAAAACCCTCATTTCAGCAGCACATATACTAAAATTGGAACGATACAGAGATTAGCATGGCCCCTGCGCAAGGATGACATGCAAATTCGTGAAGCATTCCATATTTTTGCCCAACACCTTCTTCTAGGCCCAGGGCCCCCCGGGGTGGCCCAAATAAACTCAGACCAATCAGTGGAAAAAAAAAAAATCTTTTAAGAACATAGCTCAGAATATGCTGGGGGATAAATGGAATAGATCCCTTGCCTCCCACCACCACTATCAGCACAGTTCTTAGGACTGTGCAAACACTACTGCCTCTGCTTCCAGGAGCCCTCCAGGACTCTGGGCATCCCTGATCCTGCAGGGGAATGCTCCCTCATGAATGCTGCCCATCTTCCCTTATTTCCACTTACACTGTGGGAAAAGACAAGGCTGCGGTGAGGATGAGAGGGGAGGGCAAGTGTGTACACCAAACCGAAACCAAATCCAAGGAGTCGAATGCCACCAGTACTTACAGCGCACTCGGTCCATGTCTGGCACCGCATTAGGCAGTGGAAGGCCTGAGATGAATAACAGGACCCCGCCTTCAGAGCTCAGGAGCTGGGAAAATGTGAATCAAAAACTCTATTCCTGCCCTGAGCTCTCTAGAGCCTACTATGTACCTGATACTACAGGAAATAGGAAGGTACCATCCAACTTTTAAGGGGCTTATGTTCAAGGAGTGGCCAATAATAAACATACAAGATCATTTCAGACTGTGCAAAGGGCTGGTAAGTAATTAAGTAGGATAATGTAATAGGTACTGATTGATAAATGGGAGGGCCTACTGTAAAATACGTCTTTCTGAAGGGCCCCTCTGGGATATGTCGATTCCAAGGCCTTCACATGCTTGTGTTTTCCACGACCCCACGTTTATTCGCTGCTTTCAGCAGCATGTGAGGAGCCTAGGAGAGTACATTCCAGGTAGAGGAGGGGGGACAGCCCTGAAACGGAAAGCAATTTGGCTTCTTCCAGAAACCGTGGCCTCAGGCCAGCGTGGCCCATGTGTAGTGGCCAAAGCAGATAAGAGTGCACCGAAGTGGGGAGGCAGGCAGGGGCCAGGCCTGGCAGGACACCGCAGGGGTCAGAGTTAGTATGTACTGGATGATTTGGAGAGTTCGGGAGGAGCGTGCTCCTGTTTAAATGTTTAAAGATGGGTCTCATTGCTGTAGAATGAGAGGCAAAGGCCATCGTTCAGGTGAGAGGTGATGGTGGCTTGGACTGAAGTGGTGAAGTGGTTGAATTCTACTGGTTTTGAAAAGCAAGACATGGCTTGGCAGGAGGGAGGGATGGAGGATTCCAATCACACCAGCACAGGGTGACCACTGCCATCCCAGTGGAGGTCACATGCCTTGGGCTGAGTGCTAAAGGCTGTGGAAGTACACCAGGAAGCAGAGAGGGGCGAGATTCAGGGCACACGGAAACTGAGTCAGTTTCTTCAGAAGCCTTTCCTCCCAGCAAGGCTCTGGCTGGTAGTGGGATGGCGCTTCTGTGCCCAAAGGGTAAGAGAAGAGGGTTGTTATCCAAGCTCTGAGGCTGCTACTCTGGGGAGCTTCCCGACTCTCTCCTTTTCTACTCCGCTGCCAGCATGTCACCACCGAAGAGTCTGCCCTAGTCAAGCTGTGATTGGGCCCTTCTTCAATGTGGTGAAAAGTTGAGTAGGTGCCTGGGGCTGCCCAGCAGTGTTGGGACTGGCTACAGAAGAATGGAAAGCGTGCAGTGCCAGCTATTGTAAGGAAAGGAAACTTCTAGAAGGTTGAGAAGGCAGCTACTCCAAGGGCTCTGAGGTGCCCAAGGCATGTAAACACTAGAGGGGAGTGTATATAAATCAGAGCCTCCACAGATGGGAGAGGCTGGCGAGGAGGCCCACAGCTGCAGGCAGCCATCACCATCGGTGCAGGGTGCTTCCTCCACATTTCCACCTAAAAGGGGACAGGATTGCCTCTCCCCCTCCTCCCATCAGCCTTAAATCCTTTCTGAGGGTCCCCATCATCTCAGAGAAGCACAGGCACTTCAGCACTCAGGCCCTTCGCATGCAGGTCTCGTCACCACTCACTCCTCCAGGAACCCTAACTTCCAGCCGCCATAAACCACTCAGATCCCCAGACATAACAGAGGTTCTCAGTCCACAAAGCAATCACCACCCCAGTCTGGCACAATCCTCCTCTAACCTTAAGATCCAAAAAAAAAGCAGTGACCAATCCTGGGAAGAAATCAACACCCTGCCAGCTCCAGCAGCATGCAACAGACCTCCCTTCACCCCACCAGTTCTGCCCCGAAGTAATGGTTGTAAAACTGGCAGCCTGTGGGGGAGTCTGTTAAATCTGTGTCTGCTTCAAACGTTTGAGAATAGTTGCCAACACTAAAGAACTGGGCAATTTCATATAAAATTCTGAAGTTTGGCTTGAACACTTGGGTTTTACAATACTATATACTCTTCCTGTTTTATTCAAGGCCTCCTATCGTTTCATTTTTGTAATGTTTAAATCTCCTTTCTATTATTTTGGTGTACTGAATGAAGAGTTTTTCTTTTCACATGGTTAATCCACTATATTTTGGAAACATAACTTCCAACAAAACCAATTTCTAGATTTCAGTTTCATTATTATTAATCTCACTTGAAGGAATACATTAGCTGTTTAGACCCTCTGCAAAACCAGAGCTAGTAAGTCATCGAACTCCTCTCACTTGGAGAGGAAAATATTAACCAGAATCAAGTTTCCAGGCTGAGTAGCCCCGCTATTCCACCAGCCTTGAGGCTTCTTAGGATAGCCCTGGAGTGGGGACAAGGTCACCTGGCCAATGTGACTGCAGCAAAGGAAGGGCGGGGCTGAAACCTCAGAAATGGTCACTGGAACTGTGTTTCACCAGTCTCCACCCAGGGTCAGACTATTCCAGCACGTAGCCTGCCTTTGTCCCTTGTCTTCTGGCATGACGTGTGCCCTTGGCCCACTTCTCACAATAAACACCCTGGATGAGCTCATCCTGTCCCAGTGCTTCCCTGCAGCTGACTGGCAAACCCTCAGCCCATGCTGCAACCGCTGAGCTCCTCAGCTGCACTTCCAGCTGCCCAGGAGTCATGTTGACAGGGATATCCCACGGGCACCCTACCCCAACACATCTTGCTCAAATTTCTTACTCCACAAACTACTTGGTATTCCCATCTCAATAATCTACATCGAAACCCCTCCAGTGACTGGGTCATGAAATCACCTTCACCCTCCAAAATGTCCCTCAGATCTCCTCACCTAGTTAAGTCCCTCATTGTCTCTGGCTTGGATTGCAATACATGTCTAAATGTGTGTCCCCTTTCAACCTCCTCCAAATCATCCTCAAACTACCTCCAAGTGTGACTGGATCACACCTATAGATCAGAAATCCTGCCTACACGTTCTCCACTGCCTACGAGATCAAGTTCCAACCTCCAAAGACACACCAATGCTTCCCACACTCTTTACCAACTTCCCCGTCCCCTGTCCCTGCCATGCCCTATCTCTATCACCCATTTCAATGACTTTCACTTTTCCACACTATTCCACTTACTAGGGATACCTGCTGAGCCCTGGCCATGCTTCCCCAGGGTTCTGAGCTCCGTTCAGAATGAATCTGTCCTTGGTGACTAGACCTGTCCGTACACTCCCGTATCTTCTAGCTCCACGTGGCCACTGAGTGCATGAAAGGGGGCTGGTCCTAACGGAGATGTGCTGACATGTAAAATTGTTCATGGGATTTAAAAAACTTAGTAGGGAAACTACTTAATAAGTATCTTACTAATCTTTTTATACTCAATACATGTTGAAATAATGATGCTTCAGCTATAACAAGGTTAAAAAGATGATTAATTTCACCTGATTTTTACTTTTTTAAAGAAGGCCACTAGAACATTTAAAATCAAATACGTGGTTTGCATTCTGCTGGATAAAGCTACTCTGTATTTCCACGAGCCTTCTTTTATGCCTGATGTCTTCATTGATTAGTCCGCAAAGTCCGACCTCAAGGAGCTTACAATCTGGTGGGATGCTTATATTCCAGCTGTGATTCGTGTACCCAAGTCCAGATGACTGCTTAATACTGAGCCCAAAAAAACACATGACCAGCGGTACTGACCACATCCTTTGTGCTTCTCTCCTGCCTCTAGGTTCTCCCAAAAATGACGTCACATGTGGTAAATGAGATTGATAACATACTGCGCAACAAGCCCTATAGCAAAAAGGACTATAGGTCATAAGGCAATGCATGAGCCACAGAAGCTGCATGGTTAACATAGCGGTCTGTACCCAGTACAGAACGGTGTTCCTAGCCAGTCTTTTGAATCACTTAGCAGCCTGCTGCTCAACCTCTAGTGCCCCCGGATTCTCTGAGGTGTCTGCTGTCGCTACCACTGTGCACCTGAATTACGAGCACATCTGAAAACTCACAACCAAGAAAATCCATTCTATTTTCTTATCTTGGACTGGAGTTACCTATTCTTGCATTGCTCTGTCCACCTCATGCTTATGCAATGAAAAGTACATGGGGCAGGGGAGGGCTGGATTACCGTCAGGTATTTGGTAACTTAAAGAAGGCTATACAGATATATTTTTTCAAATGAACAAAATCCACAGATGCAATGTGGATTGCATCTGAAATGGAGTAGGAGATCCTCACTCAGAAGTCTTGCTTGGAAGAATAAGCAGAAACAATTTTACACTTCCTTTCCTATTTGCACATACATGTGAGAAAGTTTTGTTTCATCTGCCACTCAAAAAACTAACATTTCTAAGTATTTGCCTTCACTATCTTTCAAATACTTAGTTGCTTGGTCCCCTCCAAATGACCCTGTACAGCAATTTACCAAGGGTGTCTATTAGGATTCTAATGTCATGTCCATTTACATGTAGAAACGGTAAAAAGATAAATGCCCCAATCTTTACTTAGAAACATGACTAATTTAAGAAAGGGAAGGATATATGGAAACTTAGCTTTGAATGAAATGTAATGGATCTGCAATTAAATGTTAATTTTACCACATTTTATTAAAACCTGCTTTATACTTTCAAATGCTTGTAGGCATAACTTCTGCAAGTTTAAATACCGAGGCTTTGAAAATATACACACGCTCAATTTTGTAAGTAAACCTGTAGCATACCCAGAGAGGCTGTTTAATTAGTGCTGGGATTTTACAATATAATGCTTGGTATTTCTGAGGAGTTACGACAGTGAATGATGGCTTTATGAAAAATGCTGTCACTACTCAGCATATGCTGGGTGAATTCACTTGCCCAGTTAAAACAAAATGTTAACGAACTTCCTGATTCTATAATCACACGAAATGCGTTAAACTATATGCATGAAAGTGCTCTGCATGAATTAAAGGGGCTTGTTAGCCCTGTTGCATTCAGAATATGAGTTATATTTAGCCCTGCCACTATTAGGTACTTACACTCATTAAGATCCCACTGGAAAAAAATTATGAGGATGTAGTGTGTGTTTGCTGTCTGTGAAAAGGGAGAAACCACGTTTTTCTTTCTTTATGGGATGGAAGCGATGGTCCTTTAACACTATTTGTACAACTGAGGATGTACAAATTTCTAATTTAATTTTCTGACCAGCAAGTTCCCTATATAAAAATAACTCTGAGACTTGCAATATGCTATCATCCTAAGATGCTATTTTCTGCCAGCATTTCTAGATATGTATTTCACAGTTGAGTTCTAAATCCTGAAATGTTAGAAGGAGATACAAACACATTTTTGAGTACTACTGCCTGCATCCCAAAATGGAGTTTGGATTTTTTTTTTTCCCCAAAGCATCGGATTAATGATGGATATATGGATTGCTTTTCCTGTTGTTCATTGTGAATTCAACCCAGTGAACTACTCTCTGTATAAATGAGCTGAGGTGCTGTCTACCAAGAAATGCGATTTAACTTACTTGCTTAGAGTAATAAAAGCATTTTGTGCATTCAGTCTCGTACATCTTTATTTGATCTTTCAATGTAAGGCAAAAAACATGCATATATTTTTCATATATACAACATACATATACATTTTATAGACGGGGGGCAGGAAGAGTGAAAGAGCATACACCATAAAACAGGCAGTAATCATCTCAATAAAAACTATGTTGGCAGGTGAGCTGCGCTGAGTATCTCATGGAAACAAGCTGTGATCCAAACTTTCTTCTAACAGAAAATCTGATGAGCTACTGAAGTTATCATTTTTCCTTGAGTTTTGGAACATTCTACACTAAGCTTCAAGCTTCTCAAACACACTTAAAAGGATCTGCAAATCAAAACCAAATACAGGGCCAGCCCCACAACACAGAGATTAAGGGAGTCATATTCTACATGGCTGACTACAGTTCAGGTCCCAGGCCTGGCAGCCTGAGAAAGCATGCTGACGCACGTGCCCAAGATCCCATCGGCATGGAGAAGGGATTACGGTGTGTCCACACCTTCATCAGGATGTTTTCTTCCTCCCTCTTTTCTCTGTCAAGCACATGCACCCTTGGCAATTAAAAAGACGTATATAAATATTGTTTAGATGTGGGAACATCCAGTTTTTTACATATAAACCACTTGCTTTGAAATATACACTAAGATATTACATTTCACAGTAATATCCTTAACAAAAATTTCTAGGCACTCTCTATTTTCTTTTCTGGAAAGCATTCCCTGACAGAGATAAGTCATTCTGAAGGGCAATCTGGGTAAAGTCACGCTTACAGTGAAATCTCAACCACAGGAAATGTAAACCGGGGCTCTGATGCCAGAATTCCCACTCTGTGTCACTTCATCCTCATGAATGAGAGTGCCAAAGATCACCAGGCAGAACTTATTGCTAAATTGCAATCTATAGGAATACCCCTAGCCAGGGGAGGGGGCCTGGTTAGATGCAAGAACCTGCCCAAACTCACACTGCAGTTGATAGTCGGATCAGGCCTAGGACCCAAGTAGTCTATGCTCCAGTTTAGCCCTCCTTTAAGATTTTTTTTTTTCTTTTTAAGCTTAAAAGGTTTATGCAGAAGTAACTGTATGTGAGAACTTTTCAGTTAAAAGGTTCAAGTATAAATCTAAATTCAGGAATCAAGTACGAAGATCGAAGTCACAGAACAGATAGAACAAAAACTCATGAAGGCCAAGGAGAGAGGAAATTTTCACTGACTATTCAGAGACCTTCCTAACCTTCTCTTAATATCCCTTGCTTCAGAGTCCTAGGTGGGAGAGATCTCTTACAGCACAGAGATAGATTGGTAAATTGATTCTCTCCAAACATGTACACACACAAAAATCCTTCCCATTGTCTGTAAGGGGCCGTGCCTGGCATCCACACTGGGGGGTGGGAGGGGCAGGAAGGCATCACAGGCAGAGGCCACATGTCTGCTCCTACTGGGACCATGCTGTGCCTGTCACTGCCTCAGACACTGAAGCAGTAACTGCAAAAACGTGCATTTACATGTGTGGGAAATTAATGACAGTTAATGCAAAATACTGTAATAGCAATGACGTATTCACATGGTTCTCATAAAGGAGTCTAGGGAAAACACAAATTTTAAAAGGCAAAGTTTCATCATACTTATTAAGCAAGACCTTTCACAAAAATTTTGAGTATAAATTTAACCTTTATATTTTAGTTAACGTCAAACCTAGTTTCAAATGATCCTTTTCAAGTTACAATAATATCAAACAGGACAACCAGTATATTTAATCCAAGATTTGTATTAAGTTGCAAATGAGGAAGCTAAAAATAGGAGGTTTGAAAATGTTGCAACTTTAAGCTTCTACTTACCATGAGTGTGAAAAATGAAATTTAATCACTTTGAATCCCAACTGCAGCAGAATCCCTTTTATTTCACCAGTGTTAGGTATGAAGTCTCTTAAAGATAAAAACACTGCAGCAGGGTTTTACTTTCTAATTCGGATCGTGCATATTATAAACTCCTGTGTCATAAGCTCTTCTAGGGGATGGGGGAGAAGGGGGAAAAGGTTCTGCCACTCCCAAGAGTAAAGTTACTACTGCAGTAAATCCTTCATGAAAACTATGAACTGCTACCGTACACCTTAGCTAACACATAGAAACTGACCTAACAGTATAGAAAATTAGAAAAAAAAAAAATCAAGACACGGAACAAATTCTGTTTACTTGATTTCCTACAAAATTTTATTAATTCAAGAGAAATTCTATTAGAATACTAGGCTGGATAATAGGAGGTGGGAGGGAATCAGGGGAAAAACATACAAAAAATATTTAAGAGACATAAAAATGAAGTTCCTTGATGATAACGTGTATGGTCATGTCTCTGTTAACTAGCGTGCACCGCATTCCCACTGGGAAAACCGTGTTGTACACTGTAAAGATGTGATTAAATGTAAATAAAAATAAAATAAAGTAATAAGCTGATATCCCTTCTTTAGCACCTCACTGTATTATACCAAAAATGGCAGCGATCTCCACCCCCCCTCCCGCCATCTGTACAGGCACTGCCATCTAGTGGCAATTTTTCACCAGCAACTTTAAAAGCTATCTGGCCTAGCTATAGTAACAAATACTGACTGGGTCTTCGGAAAAGTCATGATGCATTTTTACATAAAAAAAATGCTGTCTTTCCCAATGACCCCTGAGTAGACACGATGGTCTGTGTAATAACCATGTTGTCAAGTAAGCAAATGCGGTACACAGAGTCCATGCTACCACACTAATCACTTGCTCTCGTATCAATGGTATAAATGTGTTTAAAAATAATAAACCCCTTCCGCGTTACCTTGACTGTACCTTGCAGTGAATCCCTTCTGACTTCCCTCTTCACCACATTATCCAGGGATACATGCAGGCATCAGTGCACCAAAGAAATGAGAGGAATTTCAAACCTGTAGGAATGATGACATATAATCCTCAAACGCACCTGGTGCTGACCAGGTAACCATGGAAAGATACTCCTGCTCCATCTTCCTGCCAGGTTCGTGGATACAGCCCACTAGCACACCCAATAACATGGAAGTGGAAGACGAATTCTCAATGAACACCTTCCTATAAAGTTATCAGTAAAACCGCTAATATGTATAACATTCATCTTGTGTTTGGAAGTGGAAACTACAAATAAGGAACATCAATTACTTCCTTTAAGGTATTGCTTGTAGGAAATTACAGGAAGTGGTCAAAAGCTAATTGGAATATGAAACCAATACCATCTGTGACCTCCCCCCCACCCCGCCCCGCATACCTTTTAATATGGGTCAAAGAGCTTTTCAAGTCATGGCACACACAGACAATATCTGTACATACACTGGTAAAAGTGTAAGAGACTGCTCTGGGGCTAGCAGATGGTATAATGGTTATGTTGCTTGACTCACGTGTAGATGATCATGGTTCAAGTCCCAGATGTGGCAGCTTAAAACTCACGCTGGGTGTGCGCATGCGTGCCCAAAATCCCGAGAGAATGGAGAAGGGGTTATGGCGTGGCCATCCCCCTGTGCGTGTGTCAATGTGTGGGGGGGGTGGGGGTGATTTCTGTCTCTGTCTCTCCAGTGAGCACATGTGCCCTATAGCAAAAGTCTCTTAAAAAAATAAGAGAGAGAGAGAGAGAGACTGCTCTAAGCTGCACCACCATGTGCTGAAAAGAACAATATTTTGTTTATAATCAAGGGAATCTAAGGACTACAGGGGCAAATTTATGAAAACTCTAATGAAAAAATGCTGACAAGCATTAAAACCACCACAAATTCCTTAGAGAGTTCATAGAATTCCAGAACTAAGATCATTAAAAAAAAAATACTTTGGTTTATTACGTGTTGATATTTTCTCTCTTAACATTCTCTCAATGGTGTGAGACTCTGGTCAATAAAAACAAAGATCAGTGTCCCACAGGCAAACCAGCATGGCAGGGTCAGGATGACCTCCCTGGCCACCAGGGCCTAGGCCATACAGCTGAACGGTATGTGCTTTAGCCTGCAGGACAACTCTCATGTGCCTGGGCACTATTTTTAGGCTACTACCTTGGCTGCCTTTCTTCCTTATTAAAAAAAGAACTTTTCCAGAAGTTACTCTTCCCTAAGTTGTAGAACTCCTGTTTTTAACTTTGAACGGTTTCAAATCACAAATTCAAAGACTTGTAAACAGGAGACTCAATCCCCAAGGGAGAGGATTCATTCTGATATTTATGGTTCAAAAAAAGACGTAATATTGTGCACGGAACAGAGAGAACCAGTTATTAACTTCTTCCTACTATTATAAATAATAACAGCTCGGCCCAGGTTACTGTGACCTCTGACAGATCAAGGAAGCAAGTCATTTTCTCCTCTTGTGATTATAGTACATTGCGAGACACTTCTTGCCTTTTAATAAATATCCTGATACTCTGAGATTCCCTTTCAATCCATTTAATTTCAACACAATGTCAAAAAGCCAATAAACAAATACTGAGTTACATTCTCAAAATCCAGACCGTAAAAACATCTTGTGTGTCTGCCACCCGACCACCCTGCTCCTTTTCCATACAGGCCACCCAGAGATACAAAGGCAGGGGATGAAGCGGACACGGTCTACTTGGAGCCAGTAGACAGGAGGGCGATGAGTCCTGATGAAGCACTTATGGACAAAATGTAGTTCCTGTAAGAATTTAACATTAAGGAAAAATTAAGAACCCCAAATTAGTTTCTCAACAAAATAAAAAGCGCCCACCTCTTTGAAGTGTACTACATCCCCCGATACTCAGTATAATCATAGAAAGGTGTAACCCCACTGCCCACAAATACTATCGCGAGACTGAAGATAATGAAGTATGGAAAACATTCATAGAAAATGTGTTCCAATTTAAAAAAAAAAAAAAAAAAAAAAACTACAAACCCGG